TGGAAAAATGGGACTATCATGCTGTCGCAGACTTCCTTTTGATTCAAACGAACGACATGGACCATTTATTCGATGTGACCTGCTGTGATAGTAGGGAGAAGAGCTCGTGGAAGACGTCAGTTATGATGGGTACTCTCGTTGACAAATACTTTGCTGGTCCGGCTATACGCAGTACTGAGACGAGCCTCTGAGCTCCCTCTGGATATGTAGGAGATGGAGAAGGACCGAGACACGGCTGCGACACACAGCATGACCACCACAATGGTGGCATATCGAGACAATGGGTCTGACAGCGGTGCTAGTGAAGCGTGTGAAGAGGAACTTTGGCTATAGCAAGCATGCAGAGTACACGATGAAAACTGTGGAAATTAAGTATACGACGAGTCTGAACTTTTCAGGTGCTCAGATAGTCAATAAAGATGTGTAGCCTTTGTTACGAATCCGTCGTTCTTGCTAGATTGATACCTACACTAATTTTGGGGGTAGGAAAAATCTTCCGACGCAGAGAACACTTTCCATTGATTTATCTTTCACAGCAAAGTCAGCTACAAATGATCGTCCGGTCGCCTTTGAGCCTGCAAAAGTGCTGATTGGTCCAACACTTTGCGGAAGTGTAACCCTGAAGGATTGCCTCACGTACTGTCGATCCTTTTGCAGCGTGAATGGGGTCGAGTTAGAATGCATCCCTTCTCTAAAAGTCCTCATCCGATCCCAGTGCTTCGCCTGCTTGGCGGGACTCACAGAAGAAGGTCATCCGCTAAGTGTTTGATGGGGCTATGCAACAAAGCTCTGGTCAAGAGACTTGGCAGCCATCCAATTGCCTTTAACTACCACATGGTCGCCGGATAACGCTTCAAGATTAGGTGTACTTGGACCGTATACCGCGATGTCATTGGCGCTGGTCCTAGGCGTACTATCTACGGCCCAAGCCCACGACCACCAGAGGCTCTCGCTATCGACGCACACGTAAATTGTGACCTTGCCGCATGGTTGTAACGGTATCATATCAAATGGTAGCCAAACCCACTGTCAGGTTCCCGTCGACGGAACTGACATTCCGACCATTTTGAATGGTGGAAGTCTTTAGTCAGCCAAAGGAAACCTTTGTGCCTAACAACGGATCAAGTGGAGGACTGAGGGTACCCACAGAATTTCGCTGCATCAAGCATAGTGGAAAGAGCAACTCCGTGAAGGTAGACTGAAGTACCAGCCGCAAGCCCTTCATATAGTGATATTCCACCCCATCTTCAACACATCCTTCTGACATTCACATGCCAGCTCAGCTTGAGTCTATCTCAACAGACGGTCTTTCTCCAAGTCTGACAGACCGTTCTGACCTTCTTCATACTTCCATGCCGTCATCCTAGACATCTTCGAAGCCTCGACTATGCCTAGTCACGAGATGCCATGGCCGCAGTGGACGCGAGAAGAGAACATAATTTGCGTCTGGTTCTCCGCCCTAGGCCTCGCGATCCCCGACATTGCACGTATCATCGAACACAAGCTCGGCAGACCAACTCGCCACCCGCGAGGATATTTTCGCCAAATGGACAGGATCAACCAAGAAGAAGCAGAGAGAGGCCGCCCACGGTTGTGCGGTCGTGACATGCTCGACTGGGACAGGGCTGCTGTTGATAACTTCCTCATCCTTCTGACCGATGACACGGACCTGCTCGACCACCTCCTCTGGTTCGGTGAGGAACACCTAGGGCTGCTTCGAACGGTACACCCTGGTACAGCTTCGCTTGACTATTCCTTTGCTGATAGCACCATGGTGGGCAGTACTTGGGCCGAGGCATACCCTTGAACGAAGCCGTGGACGTGGAAGATATGCAATACCAGTGGGCAAGGCTCCTCAGCAGACATCAAAGGTTCTACGGTAATCCAGCTCGTTATGGGGGGGGTCACCTCTTTTGAGGAGCCGCTCTGGGAAGCAGTGAGTTCTCATGGAGCCTCGGTCGACTGTTCCCTTACTGATGGCGTTATGGCGGTGTCGAGACATGCACTGGGACGAAGTTCTGGCCTTGGGATTTCTGCGGGAGTACCGGGCTCGGTTCGTCGAGCGTCATACTAGCGTTGAAAATTCTACTTTCCGATTCTACGGTGGCAAATAAAACGACGAAGCAATGGAGGATGATCTTTCGTGCTTAGCAAAACCTAAAAGAATAAAACACTCAGAGACAGAGTATAAAGCCGAGCTCACCGTTTACACGTTCATACTATCCTTCGAGACCCCCGCATTAATGCTATTCTCGTCAACGTATCTGTGCGTGAAGCAAAGCCGTCTGATCCAGGAGCCAATTCCCTCGCATCCATGTACCCACCAACAGCCAGAAGCTCAATAATCTTCAACCGTATGCCTCATCCAGTGCCTCTAGCGGCTCCTACCTTCTGAACGATGAGAATAACGCAAAACGAATGGCCGCCCACTGCTGCACGTATGCACATTCTCATACCCTCTCAGAGGAACCGATTGGTGGACCTTTGTTTCGTTTTCGTCGTCGAACCCGCGTCGGGCCTCGTTGCTCGTTTCCATCCCTATGTTGTAGCGGGGAATCATATTCGGAAGACGGCCTCGGGTTTGCATCCTCGCACGCTTTTCCGTTTCGGGTTTTTGTACTGAGCGGCAGATTAGCCGGGAGGCAAAGGAAGACTTCTACTGCTTGATGACAAGAGGCTGCGGTCCGGCGAGTTTAGGAATTGATGCCTGGGTTACATTGGGGGTTGGAAGGGGTCGGATCATTCCTGAGCGATTGAGTGAGGAGTTGACGGTATCATGTGGGATATACTCACTAAATGGTTCATTCTTGGCGGCCTACGACGACCGTTCTTCTCATCAATTTTCCCGTCTTGTTTTTCTGCAGTGTCATCAGCTCTGATGCTCAAATCCGACAACAGTATTACTTCATATCCAAGCACTCCTAGATCTTACCACTTACATCCTTCCGCTAGCTCAAATTCCTAAGGGAAATGGTTCGACGAGCATGAAGGCACCACCAATTAACTTACCTCCTTCAGCCTCGCCACTATGTCACCGCGCCCACATCTCCCAAAGTGACTCTGCAGCATGGCGCTGGAGAGTCTCCGAGATCGGAGATCATATTCAAAAGGGGTTGACCTCGCGTTGGACCCGTGTTCGATTTTGACTCGTCGCTGTTCAAAGAAGGAATGAGGTTCAGGGCATTTTTCTGGATGAACACGTCCAGACGACTTGCCCGCATGCATGCCAACGACTGTGTTAGGTCTCGACCAGCTTTCTAGAGATGCAACACTCATGCAAAACTGGAGCGATCACGAGCATATTAGTACGAGGAAGTTACAAGTTCGATTTTAGGACCGCGGCTACGCTTCGGCCGTTTTAGAAGACAGTGACGATTACAGAGCTGTCTATATTATGGATGAGAGCAATGAGGTTGGGCACCAGGTGGCTTTTTTTGAAAAAAGGCCGGGGGGTGGGCGTGTTTGACAAACTTGGGTAGTCTATGGGCAGAATTCACCTCACATGGCTCGACTTGTCACCGCAAGAAAAGGAGGGAGGTCGCCAGGGTAGGTTCCGGAGGTTCGTGTAGATCTTGATGGGAGGTGTGAGCCGGTCTTTTGTTACTCGAGTGAGAGGAGGGTTGGACATCGTCGATTTGTCCAATGTGAGCATCAAAGTTGCGACGCTAGAGGTCTCGTTTGAGTGGAAAGGCATGTTCATGAGCTACTTTGGGACTATATTTGCTGCACAATGAAGAGCAAGCTGGGTAGGTTGAGTCTCAATGGCAGCATCAATGTTGGCCGTAGTACCCTGTTGGTCCAGCTGACGTGTGATAGCATCCTCACCTTACTCACGCAAGCCGAAACAGAGCTCATCAGAGACGACAGAGCACTGGAAGTAGCTCTACTGGAGCGCAAGGCATGAGATCTCAGCGATCAGAGCGAATACAGTATATGGCTCTGTAATGGCAAGAGTCCGTGAGATATATCCAGAGCAAGAGGGCGATGTGCTGGGTGACATGTCGGATTGCAAGAGACGATCTTTCCAACAGCAACAACAACAAGAAGTCGCTATCTGCGGAGAGATTAAAATAGCGAAATGCACTGGCGCCGCAATATACCGTACACGGAGCGACTTTATCAGAAGCGAGCTGCTGATCGAAGACCGCGTACCTGAGTTCGTAGCTGTTGGCCTGAGTTAGAAGAATTAGGGTGGATCGCAGTATGTACTGCTCGCATCAAGCCTTGTGGCATGTTCGGTATTAATAACGAATGTAGTTGAAAAAGCAATGATATGTCAGTTGCGATTAGTCGTCGATTAGCAATACCGAATGCCCACAAAGTGTACCGCAAGGTTGGACGTATCACAGAATTTGAACCTGCAAATCAGACGAAAAGCAAATCGGGTAGAGGTAATAGATTTTGACCATTCCTCTTCCTCTGATCCATAAGACAATTAATTTACCACATATAGAGCATGAAAAATCCTTCCTGCAAGCGGCGCGCACCCTATACTATTGTCCTCTGTTGAGAAAGCAGCGCTCAGCGAAGCAGGTATCCGTTCTTATAACGCATAAATTCCTCATATTCCTGCTGTGTCTGACCAATGGTTGCGTCTGGGCTGCTTCTCCGATCGTGAGTGGCTTTTACTTTCTTGTATCAACGATCGGACATGGCGACAAGGCTCAAGAGTTGGGAGGTCAATTCCCGTCCGCATTGTTTGGGTGTAGAGCTTGTGGCCTTGTGTATCTGACAAACAGCTATTGGAACAAGGCTCAGGCGGTAAGCCGGTCGACGATGGTGTTTTGAATCGAGAGACGTCCATCATCCAAGCCATCTTCCAAGATTCAAGAGAAAGTCTTCCACCTCCGCTCCGAAATCGTACGATGCTTTCCCATCCATGAGTGAGAACCCGGCCCGCAATAAAGCAACCAAAGTGGTCCTCCCACTCTCGCTACTTACACCGCCAGCGTGAAAGGCAATCCGTCCGTAATCGATCTACCAGTACCAGCGATCTTATTTCATCGCTCCCAAATCCCAACCAATGCATCGAAATCCGCCTCCGATAGCTCTTCCGCAAATCGATCGTCGTTTGCCCCGATTCTGCCACGGATCGCGAAAGCGCGGTGCAGGGTCGATTTCGCACTCGAGTCGCCGGTCAGGGTCTGTATCCTGCTCCGTTGGAACATCAGTCGAGCGAGGTGAGGGTTGTAAGCCGGATTGCTGGCGTAGAGCTGCATGGCTTCATCAATGTGGTGTCTGTGAGGCGAGTTAGCAAAGTTTTTGAACGTGTCACGGTAAATCGTACGTTGCGCGCTCGTAGTTTTGGCTCCGCATGAAATGTATAGCCAGCTTGTAGTGCGTCTTGGCTATTCCAGCCGATGAATAACTGTCGGGAATGGCACCTTGGAAGTATCGCAGGGCGTTCTCGTAGTGTTCCAAGCTCTCATTGAGGTGGGCCTTGCCGAGGAAACTGGCTTGCTTGTTGGCGACGTTTCCAAGGGCGTATGAGCGCTCTCCTATGCTGCTGACAGTTAGCTACAAACACATCAAGCTCGATGTCGGATGTGGAAAGGACTCGCCGTGAGTTCATTTGTCCCATTTGATCATGAGCACTTATGCTGTCCTTCAGAGCCGTCGAGAAGCACAGTTCCGCTTCGTACAAATACTGCGCGTACTTCGGGTCCTTCTCGTCTTGTGCGTTCAAGTAGAGATGCCAACCGAAACTGCAAATCGAGCGGAATGGTAACACGACGAGATTTCCCGAAGGTACGTCAAGACCCCATGGAGAAATAGGAACTGCATCAGGAGCTCTATCAAGAAGCCCGCTTTGCTTCAACTCCTCTCCTTGTACCGTCCAACGGAGTCCGAGCTGTTCCATCTGCCGATCAACGTACTGCGCTGCTTCATCAGGTTTTCCACGCTCAATAGCGATTGCGGCATGCACTCTGTAAATGCTGGCATGATGGGCCCGCGACTTCCCCCACATGAGTTCATGAACTCCAAGCGCTGCCTGTATCTTTACCTCGGCGTCATAGTATCTCGATCGTTCCATGTAGTACCTGCTGAATCTCAGTAAATTCCCAGATCACCGTGACCCCTGGGATATGACATACCAAGATGCCTCAACCAGGAGCTGTGCAAATGTGATGGTGGCGCACACTTTTATCATGTGTTCGTTCAAATGGTAGAAGATGTGTTCCAGTCTGGCTATATGAGGGACAAGCTCATCACGTTGGCCCCAAACATTGACCCTGGCGTATTGTACATATCCCTGGAGAGGCGGCATTCGACCTTCAGAATGTCGTTTTGTCAAGTAGTTTTCGTAATCAGTGCCCGACGCAGTAGCCGTTGTGAATTCCTCCTGGTTCACTGTGCGGTCTGGAACAAATATCATTTGTGGCCACAGTACGGTCAAGGTCTTCACGATTGCGTTGAAAAGTGGGGAGATGAGGCCGTTCGTGTGCGTATCGGCTAGCACGCTCGTTTGTATCTCGGGCCTCATCGTAAGTGCCTTGTCTTCTTCATTTCGTTGAATAAGCGACGCCTCCACTAATTCAGCGCAAGCTTCGGTGTGAGCGGCCGCCGTCATCGGGAACTTGAACACAAGATCTTCGTCTTTGGCCGCAAACAGTTGTCTCAGGGGCTCGAAGAGGACTTGGTGAAGGTGCTTAGGGTCCAGAAAAGCCATGACTCGCAAGGTGCTTAAAGCCTCCCGCGAAAGGGTCTCCTTGTGAGTTGCGAGGAAAGGTGACATCTCCTCCGGCGCGTAATCCATTTCTCCTTGCTTGTAATTCATGCTTGGGAAGTCTCTGATGTAACCCAGGTTTAACAAATCTTTGCCTTGACGGTCGCAATCTGTAAGTGACCTGTGCACAATCAGACGTAAACATTATAGGAGTCTGTGGACCCACGAAACGTGAGAGACAGACAGGGACTGGAAAGCGATGGTCGTCCAATGAACACAAAGGTTCAGCGGGACTTGGATAAGCGGCAAGCGGCAAGGTATGTTGGACAAGGAGATTCGCACCTTGTGGGGTATGATATCCACGTTAGGGAGTCCTAATGCCGCTCTGGAGTAGGTTTACTACAGGTATTGTTAAAACCAGCTCTGTGTTGCGTGAGTGGGTTGTATTCGAATGGTGAGGAGTTGTACAATGAATGAGGAGAAGTAAATTGATAAAGACATACCTTCCAAAAACAAATCACATGCGTGTCTTGATTTGGCAACGCAAATCCTCCGTCCGCTATCTCGGACTCCACAAGCTTGGTTTTCCATTCCCAACAATCCGAGATCGACTACTTCAGCCGAAAGGTGTTGACGCTCTATTCGATACGTCTAAGCGCGGGATAAACTGGTAACTAAGTCAAATGCACTAGTATATATACGTGTAACCATAGGAGCAGGTTACTTGCCGCTTCATTTGATTGGCTACTTCCCATGACATTGATTCGTCTGAAGTCCTTTCTGCCAGAGACGATGAGAACGGTTCGTCCGTGGGCGGCAAATACACCAGGGACTGGACCGCCGGGAGTCAGGGTTTAGAGCGGTGAAGAGATTGAGGGACAATCTTTGCCGATCGGCAATTTGTCCTCTTGTACATGAACCAATAAGACATGATTTGGAGAGCTGGCTGCTGGTCAGTTGTCACTGTATGTAGCCAAGATTTAGACTGAGGACCCCGTGCCAGTCTGTCTTTCGGCTCTTGAATCATTCTCTAGGATTTGAAGTCATATAGTTCCCACTGCCTAAGGTCTTCAGTAAGGCAAGATAACAAGATAGCAGTCAGCCAATCGAAAGTCCAAAGGTGAAAGTGTAGGATCAACGTGTAGAATAAATTCGCAGCTTAGCGTCACAGTGTACCAGTGCAGTGATATGCCACTGGAAAGAAGTCGTGGGTTCATTGCACGGCTGAAGATTTCGCAGCTGTTGCAATCGATCTGGAAAGGAGATCCTGTAAAGATCAACCAACAGCAAAGCTGTGGATCCGACGAGCAGGAAACATTGCGGAGGAACCAGGGACTGCATCGTGAGTCTCGTGTTCGGAGCAGTTTTTTACTGTCGCTCCACTACGCACGATAGCCTGCACCCGGACGTCCCAAGGAGACTCTCATAACTGACATGAGATTGGTCGAATGACAATGTGACCTGCTGACTCCTGGTAGGCTCAAATAGTAAAACCCCGCAGTGAGCCCAGATGGATAGACAGCGAGTACAGACTTCGGAGAAAACTCCATGTTGTTATGTTGGAAGACTACCTTACTCTGTGTGTAGCGAAGCCGACTGTAACGTGGTCATGCAGGATAGACTCTCTTCACTTAAAGATGGCAAGTTTGCTAAAGACGTAGTCAAGTGACCTGGCTCGGTTTTCCGCTGGACAATTACCCCTATATTCTTAATCATTGGGAAACAAAAAAGTTCCCGCAAGCACCCCCCCCTCGAAAACCAAACATTGAAATTTCTTAAATATCTTTACAATCACCAGTCTTTATAATCTATAATTTTTATAATCTTTTCTCATAATACTAAATAATTAATTTTAAGAATTTTAGAAGATTTTAATTTAGATATCGTAAGATATAGTATAAATTAAGAATATACGCTTTACGTTGAAAAGTTACCTCGGTTATTCTATAATCGCCAAGATCTATCGAAAAAATCTTAAGAATTTAATAGATTTTTATTTTACTATATAGTAGATAATTAGAATATTCTAAAAATTAAAAGTCGTAGTCTTTATTATATCTTTCAATAGTCATAAAGAATTTAGAAAATTATAATTTATCGTTATAAAGTTATTCCTGAAGTTTCATTTTTCAATTTTCGAGGGGGGGGTGCTTGCGGGAACTTTTTTTTTCCCAATAGTTAAGAATATAGGGTACGCAGCTAACTTGCCCTTCTCCGGTCTTGCAAGTCATTCTGCATGAAAATGGCACTGTTTTCGTATTCGGCAACATTATGGCCCTTTACTCGTTTAGGTGTTTGATCAAGTGACCGCTCGTACTGATTCTTCAGATCGGCTGATCCCAGGCTTCAGTGTTGATAGCGTCTTTCTGTTCAGCCCAGTGTATTTTTCTGCATTGTCGCTCACCTGATACATCGTCCATGATCGAGCGTAAGCTGAAGACTGAAGAGGGAAAGATACATCGAGACTTGATTTCCGGTCTTTTCGTAGTTCTAGGTAAAAGTGCACTCAACTCACAACTTTGACGTATTTGGATTGCATGCTGGCAAATGCAAGCCAATATGTTCCTGAGGGAGGTGCCCAAGTGATCGACCATTCTAGGTAGATACCTTCAAAGCTTTGGCAAGCTACAGCGAGTGGGGTCCTGAAGCGGGCATAGACGCCCGGGCCACACGGCCGGCTCCGAGGTGTTTGACTGATTCACCAACCAACCAAGTACTGGGCCCCCGAAGAACACAAGACACAGCCCCTCTTTACGCCGCCCTTCCTCGGTATCACTCTCGTTCTCCAGTCCTCTTGATTCTTTTGGCCAGTTGAAAGATGGGCACGGCATACCTATAGCACCGTCCTCCCCTCAAGGAGAAAGAGCAAACATGCTCTCGGATCTATTGCTGCGACAGAGTTTCTCAAGCGCCAAGATGAAATCAAAGCCATGCGCTAATGCAGAGGAATCAATCACTCCCTGCACCATCTATCCTCTCTGGAGAGACCAAGGATGCTTTACTGCATGATCTTGGGCCATCGATGTCCTCGGGTGCTGCTACTATGCCATCGCACCTCCACCAACCGTGTATAAAAGTCTCTTCAATCTCCACCACTCCCCTGGCGCATCCTTCTGACAAAAATGAGGATGCACTGTCCCGCGAGAGTGCACCGACTACCTCCTCGAGTCATTCTAATATGTCACCACACGCTAATCTTCCCGCAGAGCTCTGGAGCATGACACTCCAATATCTTCGAGAACGCAAATCGCAGGAGGACTTGACGTATGTTTGGATAAATGTGCGTCATGTCTGGAAGTTACTCCGAGGCGAAATTGACGAAATCTTCATGGAAGAAGACATGGAGAAGACCTGGCTGTATGCAGACTGTGATGGGTATAATCAACGGATCGTCTTGTCAAACACAATATTTAATTTGATGAGAACGACAAGGGAAGAGCCATTTTCAAGAATGACTTCATCTTCCGCAATCCAGGTGAATCGCCTTTTCGAGGACTATATAGGAAGCTAGGCTATCAGGAAAGCGTTCGTTCTACGCTTAGCTTGTAATCGGCCCATTTGAGTGAGGAGAAGCCTGGGATCTCTGGCTGGCGTCAATATCCTGAGGAGACATGAGCAAATCTTTGTCGTTCAGGTGAGAGCAGGACTGAATGACACCGTAATCCTAGCTCCAAGGATCAACGTTGAGAGAGGAGGAGTTCTCCTTTGAGTAGAAGGAGATGTTTACCAGGTTCTTTAGACAGCATTTGGCGGCTGCAAAAGCTGAAAGCTTGGTAGGCCGAACCATCGCAAGCCTTGGCTACGGCAGAGCTCGAGCTGACGTACCTCAGGATCCTCATTTATCATTGCGAAGTGAAGCTGGAACCGGTGTATGCAAAGATGGTAGAGCGTTCTGCAGCGCACGTCAGAGATTGGAAAGATATCGTGGGCAGAAAGATTGGCTGGAACCGTCACCTGCCGAGAACCTCCTTCAGAAACGAGCCACGGACCGGACGTTCCACCCGGATGACGACGGCGTGCTCATTCGAGATGACCCCTTACATCCGATCGAGTACACCCGGGCCTCCATCCGACGGGAGAGCCAGAACACACATCGTCGAAAAGACGATCGTCTGAAGCGTGATCTCATGGTCCCACGAAGCCCAACTGTGAAAGAGGCGTCTGCTGGAGGGCGTGTGTTCCACGAGCATTGGTTACGCAAGCTGCAAAAGCCAAGGTGGAGCAACTTCGAGGATTGGCAATCCCGATGATGCACATCAGGCTCTTGGCCTCGCAAGTTGCCTCACGGATCTTGAACCGTAGAGTGTTACGGCGGCCCCCCTTGTTGACTCGAGGCGCGATATCCAACGGCGACGTCATCACGATCGCGATTGAGCCGGTAGTGTAGAGGAAGAAGAGAATGATGCTCATCACTCACGTGAATGGTTCAGCGACGGCGTGGGGGCGATCGGCTTGATGGTGAGGTTGGCAGATACGCTGGCGGATCATGCACAGCAGCGCTAGGCTCAGAGATGAGCGATATTGAGTAGGAGAGGTCCCGTAAGCGCCGTGAGTGGGGCAGGCTAGCTGGACGGTATTCCAATATTGTATTCTACATGTGGAGAGACATCAGGTGTTGGCGTTGCGGTATGAGGGTCCGTGGAAAGAGATCCGATGAAAGAAAGCATTTACGGTTCCAGAAGGAAACAGATTTTAGGCCTCATGTCCGAAAGAAGGGTTTCACAAATCGTCTTTACTATATGTCACTAATGTCCATAGATTTAATCGTTCTTGGTTCCCTCCCTCCTAGTTCCTCAACGCCTTACTTTATCCCCGGTACGCCTAGAGTTTTGCCCATCAACAGCCCAGACTCCTCGCTACATCACCTTCTTCCCCACCCATCCGTCTCGACCCTCCTGATACTTCCAATAACCTCTACCCCTTCCAATTCCTGTCTTCTCCTGCCTCCGTCTCTCGCTTTTCCCCTATCCGCAAGCTCGATTTCTATCCTCCTGCTCTCCCGGCTTCGACTCCTAGGCGCATCATTACTCTGTTGCCCTTGCTGGTTGACCATGCGGTATTGATCCCTTCCTCGTGCATGTTCGTCGACGATGTGATATTCAGGCCTTTGGGTTGGATGCTGGACGATCAAATCTTGGACTTCAGGCTTCTCAATAGGGTAACCATTCGCTTGGAGTTGCGGCAGATTCGACAGCGAGGATCGAATGGGTGAGTCATAGCGAGTGTTCACGATGCCTGGGATATCGCCATCGATATGACTATTGTTCGAAGGTATGTAGGTACGTTCGCCCAAGGGTAAAAGTCCATCTGATGACCCGAATCTTGGGTCCACGGACGCTTCTTCCGTCACTGAATCCATCGGCGGTAGAGGTGGAGGATTCGCATCCTGGTCACCGTATAGGTCGCTATTCCTATTTCCATATGAACTTCGCACCGCTCGTGGTAGATTCCTCAGTGTGACTACTGTGCTTCTTCTATCTGCATTGCCAGGCCAGTCGATTTTGAAAGTTGATTGGCCATTGTCCGGGTTTTGCTGCTTCGCGTCCTCCTGCTGGAGCAGCAGCCGTAACAATTGCTGCCGCTGTAGCTCGGATTCCGGCATCATAGCATCCGTCGATTCTGAGTGGTATCGATGCATCGCATCCCTCGCTCTTACAATATGGATCTTCCGGAAAGTGAGGAGGGCAATGGTAGTATATGTGAGGGTCGATATTGTAGAGAGAACGAGAGCGACTATAGAAGGAGAAGTCCACTGTAGAGATTTTTCGTGTGTGGAGAGGCTGTAGAGAATATTGATGAGGCCAAGGACGGATGAGGATAGGCAAGGCACGAAAATAATATCGAGCTGGAATATCCAGGAGCGGCAAATAAGAGCGGTGACGAAAGAGAGGACGTAGCCGAGGACGAGGAGGATGATGGCAGTGATAGTGGCGGATTTTGAGCTGATAGTGAGGGAGGCATTTTGCTTGAAGGCGGAGGGGAATATGAGGAAGCTGGAGACGGTCAACTTGGGTTCCAGATCTGGAGTTGAGCATAAAAAGATACCCAATCATTATCAAGAGCGCCGATAAAGTAGCAGCTGCTCTCCAGTACCATAGCGTTTGGTCTTTCTCATTGTAAAGGTCTATCAATGTCCGCCGCGGCCTCCACTGAGGCAGTGATGGTTGTCCCATGCTGGGAGCTCCGCCGGATATGAAGGCAGCGCGGGCCACGAGGAGGGAAGTCAACAAGAAGGGGAATGGATCCAAGAAAAAGAAGTCGCGCAAAGACACAGGTCGTTACGGCCAATCGCACACCATCAGCGAGCTTGAAGTGGTTGAAACGGCTCTATATGCGCACCAGTAAGCACTGTGGGGAAGCTTCCGCAATGCACGACTGAAGCCGTCTACTCGGAAAGATCAAAGGAAAGAAATTGAGAAAGCAAAATGACGGACGAGATGGAGAGTACGAGAAGGCCATTGCCTGATATTTCTCAGCGGTGTCGGCTGGCAGTGCTAGCAAGGTGTAAGCACCGCTTTTTCCTGGTGTGTAACTATGCTTATTGCGCAGCCAGCTGAGAACAGGGCGATGCGGGAAAGGCGATGGCGCGGAGACGGAGACCAATTGAAACGGCCGCTCCTACTGCAACCACCAGGACATTGATGAATCGAAGGAGCTGTCCCATAATTTTACGACAACCTACTCATATACAGTATCATCGTGCTGCTGTCATTGAGTGAAAAGTTTACGTCGGACAGTCGTTAGATTGGTATACTCTAGAGGTAATTAAGGGTTGCCTACTCGTACCAATGACCTCGGAGGGGACCATCATGATTACCCACATATTAGTACAAACCACAAAAATATGTACCTATGGCTCTTCGCCTTTTACAAATTTCCAGATCCTAATAAACGGTCCAAAGGCACGTGCGGTACCGTGTGTCATGCGTTTGCTGGGACATGAAACGGTCCATCGGATTCACGTAGGATTCCTGCATTCTACACAGCCTTGGACTTGAAGCAATCCTTTAATTACTTCCAGTATTTAGGCTTCCACGGAAAATGAGCGCAATTTGACCTTGCATATTTGCATGCATTGCTATGATTGATGACGGATCAGGTACTAGCATTAGTGAGAGGAGCTCAGTAATGGGGTATCCGCTGCAAGAGTATTAATAATATTAATGCCAGCGTTCTAGCGCCTGGGGTCCTAAAATGCAGAATGACAGCGTAATCCGCTCAAGGCGCCGCCAAAGCGCCACCACGACATCACAATTCGTGCAGGCCTCTCCAGGCCAAGATCATGCGCTCTCTCGCACTCTTCTACGCAACTTGCATGGCCTCAAGTGACGACTCCGATACACTGCCTGTCTCAGAAAGTTCGGCGAGCTGCTGCTTATAAACCTTCAAGATGTTGGAGGAACGACCGGTCGGACAAAAGGTAACCTCGAATCCACCACCAGAAGGGATGATGAAAGTAGACGTTTGGTCATCGAAAGCTATGCTTCAGGTTAGCTCGAGCAATTTTAAAGAGGTGAAGCTTGTTTAGAACACGTACCGTAGCTGTAAGCGTCCGGACAGACTGACTTCGCCGCTGTACTGTAGCTGCTTGGCTTGCAAACATTTGGACTATCGTAGCTGCCTGTGCAACAGTCTGCCGCTTGGCTATACTTCGCGCAGGCAGAAAAGCAAGGGTCGAAACCAGGCCTCTGGATGTTAGTGTCGGGGTACGAATAGACACCATCAAAGGGCACGGTGGGGATGTTCACTTGCAAATCCCAGGGACACCAGGATGCGACATCAGATACACTCACAGATTCATCGAGAGGGATAGGAAACGATGAGTTTGTGCCAGAGTTCGAATCCGACGTATCACCCTGAGCGGTGAGCAGGGCAGCTGTGCCAATGCAGATAGGGTTTGTCAAGTTAGGAGGTATTTTGGTCAGAGAAGAATTATCAGACTCAGGGTATAGCGATACGATCGCTAAAGGAAGGTTGTAGCCGTCGACGAGTGAAATATCGTAGAATGTCTGACCACTTGAGGTTGCAAGGGTAAATTCGGCCAGGGTCACCGGTGTTTCGCCCTACTACAGATGAGTATTTCCCACCCACTAATGATAAGAATCGGCGCATACGGTTGCTTTGCAACCGACAATACCACCGCAATCCCCAGTCCCGCATGCGCTACCACCACCGTTGTTTCCACCGGCATTGGCTGGTCCTGTCCCTTGAGAATTGAAGCTGCAATTCGTTCGGCCCCAAACCCGACCTTGCCAGTCTGCACCAACAGTGAGGTTCATCTGTTGCCCGGTTTGAAGCTCGAAGCCTCCAGATGACGGTGGAGTCCCAGCTTGAGTGACTATCCCGGGGTATATGGTCTCCGAACATAGACTCCGAACTACCAAAGGCACGGTCTCAGCTCGGCGACTGACGTAGGCTAGGGGCGGACGCTTCATGTGGTGAAGTGCGTTGGTGGTGTCGAGTAGAATCAAGAAGCGCAATATCCGTAAAACGGGGAGTCTTCTCCCAGCTATTGAGCGCGACATCCGTACAGAGGGGTTGCGGAGGACGGCCATCCAGGGCTCTGGCCGATTAGATTTATGTCCAGGTGCTGGGCAAGGTACCGGTATAGTGCTGGAGATGGTGCAATGGCCACCTAATGATACGGAGGGGAGGAAGCGCCAGCGCTCGTGATGGTATTGTAAGTATATCAGGCTGTCAAGTCACAAGTCGTTAAAGGAGAGATAAGACCAGCTCGGAGCTGAGAGATGGCCAGCACCGTAAAAAGGTAATCGCAAAGAAGGTGTTTCGGTAAGGATATCCAGCGCCGGCTCGAGAAGAGATGATCCTGACTGGGGACGACCTGAGACTTGCCCTGCAAACCCTGCATCGTTCCTGGCAAAAGACATGGCGACTGAAGAGCGAGCAGGGCAAAAGCACGAGTAAAGGAGGAAGGAGCTGCTGCGAGACGAGTAAGGGAAATCTGATGCCTCGCGCCAAGACCAAGCATCTTGGCATTTAGCGTATTCAAAAACATCTGGAATGCTTGGCACCGGAGATCTTTCACACCACACACCCAAATTCGTACTGTAGCATAGAAATCTCTCCGCAAAATTATTCAATAACACTGCTATCGTTAATATAGGTCCCAAATGAAAAGATAAAGCTATACTGAAGTCTTGGCATGTTCCTCAGTGTTAGCAACTCAGCTAAAAAAGCCTGGTCCCGGGGTGTCTGCGCTTGACAGTCAGAGACAGACACCCCTATTTGGACCCAAATACTTGGCCGCAGGGCCCCCGTAGGGCCCCCGTAGGGGCTGCTACTAACACTCAGCCCCCCATTTATCTGTTTCTGAGCTTCTTAAGCAGAGGCTATTTCAGTAGTTATAAGGGGGTAGTTCTTACTGCGACGGCGACTGAGGGGCGGCGACGGCGGCGGTTCGGTGGCTGCTGCGTTATTGGTGCGTTTGGGAGGTATAGCTGAGGTTATATAGCTTCAAAATTGGTTAAATGCGACTATTTGCGATGTGGCTACTTGATTTGAATGATTTTGCGGAGAGATTCCTATGCTACAGTACGAATTTGGGTGTGTGGTGTGAAAGATCTCCGGTGCCAAGCATTCTAGATGTTTTTGAATACGCTAAATTGGCATGTCGTCTTGAGAGCCTTTCGAATGCAAGTCCAAACAAGAAATGCACAGAACAACTTCTTCTGACAATGTCATTCCCAGGATCTTCATTTCAGCGATCACCGCTTCTTGCTCCATTGGAACGTCAATCGCTCAAAGAATCAATGAGCAGACACAGCAAACGGCTTCATAGATTGCGATGAAAGGTGACAAGTTTGACTTGTCTTACCGCAGGGTTTTCGGGGGTCATCGAGCGATGGGTTTCCTTACGTATGCGCCATTGGAGTCGAACAGAAGCATCGTCTCGTGCTTTGAACCATTCTCACAACATTTTCTCATAGTGATAGGCTCTGCTGATGGTATGATGACACCACGTGCTCTTGACTTTGTGCGTATGATTTTCAAAAGACATTCAGGGTACTCGATCGCGTACGAGCATCTCGCAATTGAATGGGTAAAGAATGCTATTGATTAGGCGGTACATTAATTTTAAGGTGCCAACGGACCCCAACAGAGATGCTATAGATATGTACAACTTTGAATGCTCAGGTGCCTCGCGGCTAGCCCGTGGTATCAATTCAAGAGCCGGGCTGGCAGATGACCTCCAATCAACGACTCCAGCATGCGCATAATATCAGACTCCTTCGGCATACCAGCTACTTCAAGTCACTCCCAACAAGCGATCAATCATCGTCACAGTGCGAAAGCAAGGGCCGCAGCGGCAAGAGCGACTCCTCCAAATGATCCAGCAATGTGGTTGGCTCCTCCAGCGAAATGGGTTGGTGTGGGTGAACCGGTGGTCACGCCGCTTGTTGCATTCATCGCGACACTGCTGACGAGGAGGGATGGGCAAGGTGAGGTCTCCATGGGCGGTGCGCTGCGAGTGATCATTTTGTCTGGCGCAGCTGAAGGGCAGGAGGTGCCGCAAGGAGCCACGACGGTGGAGAGAGACTGGACACATGTTAACCTGTGCTCTGGGAATCCCAGGATAATGGAAGGGGCAGAGAAGCTTTATGTACCTGCGTGTTGGCGCTGACAGCCGCGAGCGCGAGAGCAGCGAGGAAGAGCTTCATGGTGCTTGTGGGTATGGTATATAGCGGACGTCTGAGTGAGAGCAGTGATTGAAAGAGCGTTGCACTGACAGCGAGAATGAAAGATTGACTTGGTAGTATTCAGACTCTATGGAAGAGCAGGAGCAGGAGCAGGAAGAATGAGAAGAGAAGGGGGAGAAAGGTAAGCCCCATGCAGGTCCAGGGAAAAAGCTAACGGTCTTGCAGGGCACATTTGGGGATCGGAATGAAAAGCAGAAAACAAAGCAAATGAGACCATCATTTTGACTTTTTCTTTCATGGACGCACAAATCTCAAACACGACTTCCCCTGCATACTGCTGCACGCGGTCTTTGCCGCACGCATCGATGTACCAACTACCAAGTCCTGTTGTACAATTGTTGTGGAAATTGATCGGCGCCAAAAGTTACTGCAAGCATCGTCGGGACCATGAATATCCCGACTGAAAGAGGCAAATGTGGCTTGAACCGTGCCGCCGGAAAAAGGAATGGTGATATCCGAATGTCCGGGGAAATGACGCTTTCTACTCCTTCAAGTTAGAACAAGGACGGCGCCCGAATGCATCTCACCCCATACAGTTTAGGGGCGCAAGAAGGCAAAGTTAGTTCATCTTCTTAGCCCTATCATTTTTCTCCTCATTCCAATGCGCTATTGTTTTTCATTTCCACCGCGCATTCTTGTTCGTTGTTGACCCTGCAGTCTGCAGCACCGACATTCCGTCTCATCATGTGCGCTTTACCCTTATGTTTACCCTTGTCTTTACTAGCTCGCTTCCAGCGCGAGCCTGCTTTCGTAGAAGCTAGCTCCCTCACCCAAATCTTCTCTCATCTCTCCAACATCCCCTCCCCTCTTTCTTCTTACTCCACCTTCAACTCTCTTGTCTCTCCACAGCAAACAGCTTCATACCATCATTCTCTTTACAGTCTTTCTCTTTCCCTAACACCAGCGCCCTCAATTGCTTATAAGAAGCTATGAAGACTACATTCGCCGTTGCAGCATTCGCGGCTCTCGCTGCTGCCAGCCCCGTCTCTCAAACGTGAGTCACCAAACGCGTGCTATTCTTCTCGAAGGACCGCTCTCTAATGCTCCTGCAGTGGCTCCTTCTTGAAGAAGATCCGGCAAACCGCCCCAGCGATCACTGACGCCGACATCCTCAACTATGCTCTTACCCTCGAGCATCTCGAAGACACTTTCTACCAAGAGGGTCTCAAGAACTTCACCGAATCCGACTTCGCAACGGCCGGCTTCGACTCGACTTTCTACGCCAACCTAAAGGAAGTCTCATCAGACGAAATGACCCACGTTGCCTTCTTGACCGCTGCTCTCGAAAAGGCTGGCGCAACCCCAGTGGCTGCCTGCACGTACAACTTTGGCGTCACTGATGCCAAAAGCTTCATCGCGACTGCCTCCATCCTTGAGGGCGTGGGTGTCAGCGCCTACCTCGGTGCTGCAGCAGATATCATGAGTGCAGCCTACTTGACCGCAGCTGGCTCCATCTTGACTGTGGAGTCCCGTCATTCTTCTTATATCCGTGCTTCGCTCGGAGAGAGCCCGTTCCCATCTCCATTCGATGTGCCCTTGACTCTCGACGAGGTGTACACGCTTGCTGCTCCATTCATCGTGTCTTGCCCATCAAGCAACCCAACTCTGCCAGTCAAGGCAAGTCATATTCCGAAGCACTGAGCTGCGAGGATTATAACTAATGCGGTTTTCTTAGGCTTTCCCAATGCTTACTTCCTCGCCCAAGAACGGCAACATCACCGCTGGCTCTGAGATCACCCTCTTGACCCCTGGCTCCGTTGTCACCGCTGCCGATGGATCCTCGCAAATCTATGGTGCTTTTATCACAGTTACTGGCCCAGTCTTTGCTCCGTAAGTCTTTCCGCTATCCCGGACATTCTTTTCAGAGATTTAATTCATCCCACAGCGCAACCGCCGTCGATGGAGGTTTCACCCTCACCGTCCCAACGGCACCGAACGGCACCGCACCCATATCTGGCCAGACTTACGTTGTCCTGACCGGCTGCAATACCACCGTCACTGATGACACCGTCGCTGCCGGTCCTGCTGCCTTTGAGGTGGGCCCTTTGTAAAAGTCGACTAGTCATCAGTGTGCCTGAGCAGGGGATCCGGAGAGTAGTGTGGAGTGGTGTGGAGAGATGGATAATTTGCCTGATCTAATCCAAAAAGAATGGCGTTCCATTGTACATATTGCGGTATCACACACAGGTTGAGATGAGAGGGAACGTACTATGCATAACTGATTAATTAATTATAATCACTGAAACCGCTCTCATGGCTCCGCAACGCATACAAACTCCAGACCACATGCTATCGCGAAGACCAACGTCCATCACTCTCTCCTGCCTGACCAAACCCCTAGCTCAGATCTGGCAGTAGCGCGCCTCGGTTGCTTCGCCCTGCTCCCCCTTTTCCATCATGTGCTCCGACTTTGACCCCTGCGTCCAATGTCCCGACGCCCGACTCTGATCAAGGCTAAGGTACATAAAAAAAAAACACACTTTGGCGCCATGGAAGATGGCTGCAGATTCGCGCTATTGCCCCCGGGAATTAATTGTCATTTCACACTCGAGCGAAAGGAGATTTCAAACTCGAGCGAAAGGAGACGCGGGAAATTCGGTACGCCCTTCCGTCAGCGTTGACCCACGGCCATGGGAACTCTCCTGATGGGGTTTAGAGTATTGACCACCCCTCCGTGAAGACGTTTTCGCATTCAGCGGCTCCGAGAGTGGTCGAGC